AAGGTTATTTAAGAACCCAGTGTTAATTCACCTGCACGATCTTCTTGGCAGAATCTGGCACTGTTGTTTCTTGCTAATGTACATAACACCATGACTTTGTCACTCTGCTCCAGCATGAAGACCAGATCCTGGTCAAAACATGGAGGGAGCAACTTAAGTTGACGTTGCCTTCTTTACAACAAAAGAGGTAACATACAATAGAAAGACAAAAGCACAATTACAAATATAAAAATAGACCCCAAAAATGTAGAGCACAGCAATATCTTAGAGCATTAATGGTAACAACAGAGAGGACATTCTGATGTCATGAATCATTAATTTTAAACATTCTCAGGTCTGAAATCAGATACAGTTTTTACCAAAATTTGATACTATTTGCACTAATACACATTAGCACTAATTTGCATTCATTAATGTGCTCTTGTACAAGGGTACATTAGTGCTGATCTGAATTAGAGCCTGTAGAACAGAATTATGGTTTAAGAAAAAGTTCTGTCAAAGAGCAAAGGACAAAGATGCCCAACAAATCTCAAAATATAGATGGAAGAAAATTTATAGAACAAATCACCATTTAACATGGTGGAACCTTAAAAAATGATGATAGCTATATACTCATGCTACTTCCAACTTTCTGAAACAGTCCACTGTCTGTTTCTAGTTTGAGAAGTGTCAAGTAGTATTTATATAACATCACAGCAGTATCCATAGAAAAAGCCAAGTCTGCTCTGTAGCCTCCAGTCCAGACAGTTGTGTTAGACTGCAATTCCCAGTATCCCCATGCCAACTAATTGTCACAAGGACCAGGAAGGCTGGAAGGTCACCAAGTTGTGGAAGACTGCTTCAAATCTTTGATGATCTTACTCACTTTATTCATTTTCTTAGTTACTTAGTTATTTATTTATTAGATCCATACTCTGTCTTTTCACTCTAATAGCTTTTATCAGGTTCATACCTGAATACACGTATGGATGTATGAAGACCTTCCCATTAAATTCATTTCCCTATTGTTAGTTTCTAAGATGTGATTTTGTCTCCTGAGACAAGTTACTCAGAGTTACCGTTTTTATTCAAAGACAATAGACAGTATTCAACATGGCTGGTTCACGTTTGTTGTCGACATACCGCTGATGGAAGTGACCTTTGGCAGTATGATGACAGTGCAGACTAGCATGGCGGGTTTCTGGAAAGCAGAATAGCAGAGCTGGATCCTGCCCACTGATGCACGGCCATGGGCACACTTACCATAAAAGGAAACATAATTTGCTCATCCAGTTAAGAATTCTTCACTCCAGTCAGGTGAAACTTCTCACTTCTTTCAAGATCTCATTGGAAAGAATGAGATCTTTGCATTGCATGTTTGCATCGTTGCTCACAGGCCTCCATCTTGGGAAAATGCCTCTGTAGGGTGCATCCTGCTATCTGTCATGGCAGGTGCATCACTGTCTCATATTCCCTCCTCCAAGTGGCTGTTTTCACATGTCCTCCAGCAGTTTTTTTAGGCCATATGAAGCTGCTACAGCCAAGAGGAACATCTGCACCAAAGGGTGCTGTGATGTGAGTTGGAGCACTGGGAGAAGAAACTCCATCTGTACTTCATCCTTGCCTACCAGCTCCCTGGGCCTTGCCACTCCCCTCCCAATCCCCTCCTCCATGGATTCCAGGACTCTCACATGGTGCCATCCACCAGCACCAGATCCAAAGCAAACATATTTATTTATCAAAAAATAGGAAAAAATCTTCTGTATAATAGTCAAAAGAAATGGATAGAAAAATGAAACCAAGATGTGAGTGAGAAAGCAATGTTGAATAAGGGTGGCTACTAACTCTCTAGCAGTTTTGCTTCTTCCAACATGCTTATCTTGTTTCAGATCCAAACTTCCCTACTGCTTGGTTTGGAAAACAGCCACAAAAGGGTTCTAGTGGCATCCTTCTGCCAGCAAGAGCATTGCAAACAGGAACTTTACATTTTCTCCAGAAAGTAAAGAGTTAGATTAACCTAAATCAGGACCCACACAGAGAAATGTCAGCATTTAGATGGCTGAGTCATGTGAACTACACCAGACAGAACGTAAATATCAACTCAGAATCAATCTCAATTTAAATATCAAAAATACTAAAATTCATTATACTATAGTTCATGTACCAGCTCAGCACACATTACATGCAAGGGCATGATAAAAGCAATGGATTCTCCTAATACATGAACTTCAGGTTCCAGAAACATACCTACAGATAAGTATATTCCATTCGGAATAGCAACAGTCCTTGTATGAACCTTGTTACTGCGTATGAAGGTCGATGAAGATGTTATGAATGATCAACAAGAGCCTGGTATTTTCCAGGCATATTTTTAGCATTCTCCTGTAATAATCTCCTGGATGAATTATACTACAACTTCAATTCTCCCCCGTCAGTGACCATGAGCCATGGGAAATGCAGCCCAACACCTCTGGATGGCTCCAAGTTTGGGGAGGCTGTGCACAAAGGATTCTTTGCAAGTTATAGGTCTTAAGTATCTGAATAATATTTTCCTGTAGGTCACGTTCAGAAGCAAAACACAGCCCTCATTTTCCCACTGTGGCTTTAAATCATACATTCTGGGCTATGTGTTTGCTCAAAAAGCTGCCTTTTCTCATAGACAAGTAGCCCATAGATTAAGCAGAGAAGTTAATATTCACTTTAATAGGGACTCTCCCCCCACCCCCTGCCCTTAGAAGAGACATTAACCGGGCCTTTTTCATGCACAGTTGAGTTTATATAAACTGATTGACACCTTTGGGGGTCCTCTTTCCACTGACTCATAATTTTGCTCACTCGTGAAAAAGGTTTTCTCGGTGCTCTGTATTCTCTAGTTAAAGCCGAAAATTCAACTCATCATATTTACACAATAAAAAAATCCATTCTGCCTTGTTTTTAATTGCAAATCTGACTCAAGGGACCGATTCTCCTGCTTAGGAGGCACCCCTGTGCCTTCTACTAGGGAACCAAGTGCAGTCAATTATGGTAATGAAATGTCAATAAATATAAAAATTTAATACAGCCAGCTCTGGGTGAGTGGCAGATGAAGACTTGCCTCCCAGATAAATTTGCTGGTTCCGCAAATATTAAATGCATCTGAAAGAGGAGCTCATGGCCTGAGAGCCCTCCAGTAGCAGAGGGTGGGAGAATCTACCTACTGGGGTTTCCCATTATGTTATCATTGTAATCACACAGGAACACTGTTATTCATGAAATTCAGCTGAACATCTTAACTTATTACTATGAAGTGGAGAGCATCCTTTCTCCCTTACAGCAACTACAAGTGGTTAGTTGACCAAGGGATTTCCACTACCCATTTCCACTCTCACCTGTTCCCAACAAATCACAGGGAAAAAAATTAAACCATGGATGAGAAATGCAGTCAAACCTTTCTGTAATGAACGAGTCACAATCCTCGGCTCCCTGTTGAGTTCCTGCTAGGGGGAAAACCTGGGTTTGTGATGTCATTTTTTTTAATGGCTGTAGGAAAATGAGCTATAATCCAGGAAGCTTCTGGTGCAAACCTTACCTAAGCCATACAATTATTTGTCTTGTGTAGGGAGGTTCAAAATATCTTTAATCTGCCTGTTTCATGGATCTTCCGTCAAACTTTTTTCATCCACTGATTGCCAGAATCAGATTTTCTTTTTGGAAAAGTATGCAAAAATAACAACAGCCACACCAAAATCCACTGCAATTCATACAACTTTTTCTGACATGTAACATCTTGCGTGTCTTTCTGAACATATGATCAGTACACACACACACGCACGCACATATGCACACACAGAGAGTGCTACATAGCAGAGGTTCCACACAGAGATCTACAAATCACGCGGGTTGTTTTGTTTTTTTATATCACTATATTTTCCAATAACTTCCATATTTCCACACACAAAAACGAAATTGCATAGAAATCCAGGCAGTTTAAGAAATGCTCCACATGACCTGAAAGATCTAAGTTGGTATATCAGTCAGATTCATAGAGGTCCAAAGTCACTTGGATCCATTTTAGATTTCTCTGATATTCCTAGACTATTGCTGCAATCCTGTTACCATTTTCCTTAGAAAAAGACCCATTAAAATTTTTGCTAGTTCCATTGCCCCCTACCCTCTGAAGTGGACAACATTTCTGGGCTGCTGAACATGTACAGCCCTCATTGGCATGTTTTGCCCTTTTCTATTTATTTAAAACTTTGTGTACTGTCCCATCACTGACGTTTCAGGATGGTTCACAATAACAACAATCCCTCACAGACTTTAGATTTCTTCCTTTCTTGGGATTACCCCAGGGTGCTGCTGATATTTCCCCATCCTTGTGTATGGACACTTTCTTTTGAACTGCATAAGAACCAACATTCCAGCCTGAACATCAGAAACAGGAGAAAGTATTCTGGAACAGCAACATTCGAAACACAACAAAATGAGGCACACCACACATCGGCACAATGCAAGCAGCCAGTAAAGAGAAAGCTCCTTGGTGGGATGCTGTTGTGTGTGTGTGTGTGTGTGCGCGCGTGCATCATGCGTGCATATTTATGAGAGCAATACTTGTACCATACCTTGTAGGAAGACCTAACTAAGATGCTCACAGTGTTGACCTCACTTTATCTGTGCAACAGTCATGTTAAGTAAGCCAGGCTACATACACAGAGAGCTTTGAATACATATGGAATGAAATGAAATTAACAGAGATAATTAATTGTGAGATTAAATGTATGGTTGCATTTAATATGTCTAGCTTTTTTTCTTTTTCTTGAGAAAGAGCAGTTGTGGCAGGGGCAGATTAGTTTGAAATTGCTGAACTAAGGGTGATTTTTTTAAAAAATCCCCTGCATCCCTACTGGCATAATATCTAAGAAAGACCTTCCTCCTTCAGAATTGCTTTTAGAGTACTAAATGACTCTGTCTAAGACAACTATGGGATGGGGATGCACTTTCTGGTTACAGTGACCCAACAGAAATGCAATATTCTTTTGCAGGTGGATTACTCAATCATAGCATCTCAAGCAGGAGCGACACTCAACAATCTTATGAGCCACGCACAGGAGCTAGTAGCAAAACTACGGTCGCTGCAGTTTGATCTACGAGAGTTTGTGTGTCTCAAGTTTCTGGTGCTTTTCAGTTTAGGTAGGTATTCTTATGATTTCATCAGGATATGGAGGACCGTGACTGATTTGTTCCACTGTTTTGCTGTTGTTTCCCATGCACAGATCCCCACTATGAGCTGATCCTTTTCACTCAGAGAGGCCTGGGAAGTGACAGTGTCATGGCCACCTTTCTTCTCCTTTAGGAAATACTATATGTTAGCAGCAGTGTAAACCCTTATACATATAGGGAAAGATCCTCCATGGATTTCCCCTGACAATCAGTAACCCTTTGAAAGGGGTATACAACTGCAATAAATAAATAAAGAAAGAAAGACAGACAGACAGACAGACAGACAGACACATTATTAGGTGCATCTCATCTGGGAACCATTTCCAAATGAAACTTTTAGAACGAGATGGGAAAGGGGTGGCACCATGGAAATGCACTGCCGAAACAGAAACTGAGCACATGAAGATGAAAGCTTCTTAACCCATTCCTTTACTGGCTGTGCTAACGTTCCATCTGCAGCAATGAAAAACATAGTGGCCATTAAGAATGTGGCTACCAGCATACCACGGTTTGTGCTCAATCCCACCTCCTCAGTGTTGAACTCCCACTCCCCCTATTCCACTTGCATGTACGGACAAGAGCAAAGGTTCCCCAGTTTGAAGGATGGTGGAATTTGTGGAAGGAGGGCTGGAGAATTTCCATCTTCCTGTACCCCCACCTGTATCCTAACCATGATCAGTACATGCTGTGATCATGCATAAGAACAGCGGAGTAGCAACTATCTGAAGCTACATAGCAGGAGGTTTTATCTCTTAACTGCTCGTTACATGTGCCATATGTACATAGGACTGTATTCTGCACAGAACTCCTGTCAGAATCTTTTGGTGCATTTCCCTGAGCAAAGGGTAATGCAAAGAAAGGATGCAAATCAATTGGGCTTGTATCACAGAATATATTAATGACCAGGAACATTTGTTTTATGGTATTTTTCAGTTTTAAAATTTTAAGCTCAGGTTTGGAAATTAAAAATAAGTGGCCATGGTAGAATGAATGGTATAATATGGATTCTGATGCTCTGTAAGGCAAGATTATAGTACACGTGCCTCTTTCCCATCCACACTCACTGTTAAAGAGTTTGCTTGTCCATTGCTTGATCTATTTCAGCATGTTGGAGGACCTTCCAGAACAAGTTGGGAAGTGGCACTAGGCCTCTCAGGTGGAATTACCTTTTTCCTTCTTTCCTCTAGTAGGGGGCTTGACTAAATCTCTGACCTGACCTGCCCTCAGGTAGAAGGAGCTCTTCTACTCTAGCGAGTGTGGATCCAACCAAGAGCTTTGTAGAAGTCCTAAATTAAGTCCATGGATTCTGCACCTTAATACTGCATCCATACATAAACAAAAAATAGGGACATTTTCCTTAACATCTGTGCTTCTTACCTACCATATTCAACCATGCATTTAAAAAAAAACTGGGACAAAGTCAGGCATTTGCTAGGCTTTCGGGTTTTGGCTCTAAATCTGAGATTGTCTCTTCCCAGATATTTATGATCAGGAAAGGTGAAGCTGCCCTGGTGGGAATTAATCTTTTCCCACAAATTAATTGGGTAGACAGCAAGACATCTCTTACCATAGTTTTGCATGTTAGGTATTTTCACACACATTAGGCAGTGCAACCGAAATGTCTAAGGAGCCATGTAGCTTGTTCTGTGATGAAATATTTAAAGCGATCTTTCTCACTTCAGTAGTATTTTAAATTAGCTGAATATCTGAATTGCATTTGAAAAATGCTCACGTTTACTTTAAACCGTTTTTACGTTTGATCACTTTCATCAGCCACTTCAAGTACTTAGCATTCATTTAGGTTGTCTTCGGCGCCCTGCCCTGATATTTCAGGCTGTTTGGCAAGAAGAGGAGACTTCGTTTCAAGGGGAAAATAGAGCAAATGTCTGCACTTAGGCACTTCTTCAGAATATTTATTGAACATTTATATCCCACCTTTGCACTTATGAGGGTCCGCCAGGGAGCTAACAACAAAATAAAACAAGTACGTAAAGCAAGAGCAAACAATACTAATCAAGAAGCAATAAATGATCAATAATCAAACTAGAACTAATGGCCAAAAAGGGCATGACAGAGAAGGGACAAACACACAAGACAAGACACATGAACACACAAGAAAAGAGGCATTAACTTCATTTGCTTCATAATATCATATTATAATATATGATGGATTTTTATTTATTTATTTAAAATATTTCCATGCCTTCCTAAATCGCAAAAAAAAAAAAGGCTTTTTATCTTATTGTTGGTTTTATTGTGGAAATGTACACTGCTCAGAGAGCCCAAGTAGGGCTATAGGCATGGTTCATAAATTTAAATAATAAATAAGGTCAAATTCTCCCTGAAGCAACATCACTTTTCATTTTCATGCATCTTGACCATGAGAAACCAAATGAATTTCTCTTTGAAGTGCTTTGCATGTTCTTGGCACCACCACCAAGAAGACCGGGTCTTGCTAAAACCTGAATTAGTCTCAACTAATTCCAAAGATGCATTTCCATTGATTTTTCTGGTGATGTTCAACACCACCTGATGGGGTGGGAAACAAAAGAGTGGGCAATGAACCTTTGCCATGATGTCACTGCTTTTGGCTTAATTTCAAATAAATTCATCAAGCCAACAAGAGTTTCACTTACTGCAAACACAGAATTTTCATGAGAAATTCAACCAAGTCTGGCTGTCATCAGCCAAGTCTGAGAACCAAGTCTGGCTGTCTCAAACACTAAGAAGTATATGTTTTAAGTAGCCAGTTTCTTAGAGAAGACATAGTAAGAACTGCCATCTGAAGTTTCAAATCATAGTTAGTCTAATTGCTCAAAGTAATAACTGTTGTAAAATAAGTTATTTTTAAGTTTTAGAAATGATCATTCTGAACCCACTTTCCACTGGATAAAATACTTCATTTCTTACAAATATTCACTCATTAGTTTTGAAGTTGGCAACTTGGTGTTTCTTGGGGAATAATACAAAAAGGAATTTTGTGAAAAGCCAGTTAGGCTGCAATGCTTTCCCCATTTACAGGGGAGTAAGTCACAGTGAACACAACAAGACTTACTTCTGAGGAGACACGAGCAGGATTCTACAGTGAGGTTGAGCACCTTCCTCCACGCCTCAACATATTTACTCAAACTTAACTCCCACATTGAACATTCATGGAAAACTAGCCTATAGGCAGCCCATATTTATTGCAGGTATCCAAGTTTCTCTTCTCAGCCCTTAAAATGGCTGCAGTGGAGAAAAATGCTTTTTCCTCCACTGCAGCCATTTCCTTCCCAGCCATTTGGCTATACTTTGGTGAGATCTTTACAACTGTCAGGGAACCACAGTAACCACAACAGTAAGTGATCCAAAAAGAAGCCATGAAAAGCTGAGACAAGTAACTCCCTTCTGGAGTAGCTAGCAACTCACTGAAGTGTTGAACAGGTAGAGGACACCTAGAAGTGTCCAACTGGTAAACCAAGCAAGTTATATTGATAAGGAGATAATATTGTTCCCTCCCCTTTTGCTGCACCTTCTTTTGAAAGCTCTTCCATCTTTTTCACTGACAGCTTGACAACTGGTCCCTGGAAAATCATGTGTAAAGCAGCCTACATGCAGTCTTTGCTTGTTAGTTTCCATGTCTATGACCAATTCTACTTCACATCTCCATTTGACAGCTTTAAAAAGACCAAAAAAAATGACCAGACAAGACTACACATATAAGACAGCTATAAGAATCTAATACGCTCTTGTGAAAGTCCAAAACACACACACACAAAGCCACAATGGAAATAAAATAAATCAAATGAAATGGTGCAATTCCCAAGAACTAGAGAAAAAAGACATGACCATGCTTGCACGTTTTCTGAGGCTCCAAAAATGTTTTTTCCTTTTGCTTTTGTTATTTCATTTTGTTTGGTTTTTTTTTTAAAGAAGAAGCAAACAAAAACAGGTAGCAGTTGAAGTGGGTAGGGAGAGACAAGGCAAATTCTTCCATGGAGGACACAGGGATATGTGCTGGAACCAGCTAGAGACTGAGGAAGAAGGAGAGGAGAAACAAACCATGGTGAGCTTGTCTGTCAGGCATACTGTGGATTGTGCTGCAGTCAACCAATCCACCATGGCTTCTTTGCAGCTTGGCTTAATGACTTGCATACTCATTCATTAGTACATACTGATGCACATTAATATATGAGAACAGAAGTCATTTAATTTTTAGCTTCTTTTTCACATGGACCAAACTGACCTCTTTCTCTGTTTACTCTGCCCATTTCTAGTGGTCCCAGCCATATTAGCTAGAATCCAGTCATGGTTTTCCCTTTACCAAAATTTTTCTATTTGTCCTGCTAGCTTTCATTACTCGAACTCAGTAAGGATGATTTGTCAAAGCTTTCAACTGAGCAGTTTGTAAAGTGAAATGCCAATAGGAAGAAAGTTAGACATCATTTGACCCATGTCCAGTCACTTGTCTGCCTGCTGAGCTTAATGCTAGAATAGGCAACAACTGATAGGTACTCTTCTCTTATCACTGTCAAGCACACAGATAAATGTACTTCATTTAAGAAATGAAGGCTTTATCAATGGGCAAATAATTGCAGAGCAACTATTGATTCCATGTCTCACTTAACAAGAGACAACTGGGACTTGTAGAAATGGTAAACATTTAATCATTATGTATGGCAAACACTGGGCGCTTACTGAAAACAAAGAACACCTTGGTGCTTCTGCAGGCCTCAGTCCCAGCATCTGGCCTCACTCAAACTTGTAAAATCCTCAACCATCTTGGCCCACACTGAGAGCCAGTGAGGGCTGAATTTTGGCACCTGTTGAAGTAAGCATACCTGACATGTTTCATTCTGCTGCAGCTTGTAGTGGGGAGGAAAGGCAATTCATATGCCCATTCTGTTCATTTCATTTTTCATTCAGTTTTGTTTTTCTGCTAATTTCAGTGGGGGACCCAGAGAGTTTTCTTCTGCCCGTAACTTTGATGT